AGTTTTATCTAACAGAAAATCACGTTACTAGGTACCGAGTGATTTATTTACAGATCCGGACTTCTGGCCTGAATTGGGTGATCTGTTTTGAATCTGAAAAATCTCACAGAATTTTATGTGTTTCATTCTGTAGGATAGATTCTGTTCTGCGCATATAATATTGGTCTGTATGGACAAAAGGGGTGTGCAGGTTCGTGGCTGGGAACAAGTAATTGGCGAACCAGGTTCGAATTCTAGTCGAGTGTGTTATATTCACTTACACACAATCACCTTGGTAAAGGTATGACTCCATTTGTTTTCCCAGATGCTACTGGTTGTGACAGTAGTAGAAACAGGTCATCAACCTAGGAGAAGAATGGGGCTAAGTACTCCATCCCGCAAAAAATCTACTTGACATGAGAATCACAGTAGCAAAAGAACAATCTGTGACCCCATACACCACTGTGGTGTTTACAGCATTTAAGGAGTGATTATTATTATTATTATTATTATTATTATTATTATTTCTTTTGATTTCTGTTGTATACTCATTTCTTCCCGGGGCCCAACCAGGGAACTAAGGCTAGAAATGGCATAATGACATCTTTCCACTGAGCATTTTAAAAAAAAAAAAAAACATAAGTTCACGCATTTTACATAGATAAAACACTTCTGTAAATTGTGAGCTGTACTTCTGAGAACAAGTTTTGCATTTCTTTAAGACTTGGGTTACCAGGAATCCTTCAATGAAGCTATCGGAATCTTTTCCCAATCAAACTGAGGGTTCCAACTACAACAGGAATTATTGATGGCATCACGTGCCACATTTTTGAGATTTCGATTTCAAGGTTCTTGTATTTAAAAAGTTTTATGAAAATCTTCAAAGATACATGACAATCTGCAGGGACTGCCATGTCAATAAGAAAGCACAACCCGTTTTTCTGGTCTCTGATCCCGATGTCTGGGCGATTAGCTTTGATTATTCTGTCTTTCTGCATTGTAAAATCTCATAATTTTTTTTAGAGATCTTATATCTTTAACCGGGTCTGGAAGGTGTTCATAAAAGTTTTGTGCTGTTTCCTTTCTGTAAAAGATTTTCCAATGCAAATATTGGCCCACTCTGTTGTGTCGGCATTTATATTCAGTTGGTGCCAATATCATGCAACTTGATACAAGATAGTCAATTGTTTCTGGTTATTTATCACAGAATCTGCATGATTAATGTAAATCTTCCAATATCTTCAACACTTGAAGGAGGAGAGCGATTTAAGGAAAGAAAACGAAAAGACAAAGAGATTGACAATGTTTAACATTATTTGTCAAACTCTGTCTTTTCTTACTTTTCTTCTCTTAAATCGCGCTCATCACTTTATTATTATTATTGTTTTTATTCCCTTTGATTTCTGGCGTGTACACATTTCTTTCCCGGTCACGCCCAGTGACCTAAGGTTAGAAATGGCATCATGACACTTTCCACTGAAAATACACACACACACAAACACACACACACACATTTTACATAGATAAAGCCCTTCGTAAAGTGTGGGCTGTACTTGTGAGAACAATTTTTTGTATATCTTTGAGGCATGGGCTTCCAGGAATCGCTTCAATTAGTCTACTGGAATCTTTTCCAACCAATCCGAGGGCTCCAACTACAACGGGGATTGTTGTTGTTCCCATGTGCCACATTTTTTGTTATTATTATTATTATTATTATTATTATTATTTTCACCATTATTAAATGTGTAAGTTCACTGGAGGAAAAGTGATAAAATATATCCTCTATAGTCCAGGACTCTACTCAGTATTCGAGCGAATGTTGCAACACTGTTGTCTGGAGTTTCACATTACTCCCCTGATCTGTAGTTGATCCAGATTTCGAGGCTCTTCAGGACTGATCCTAGCGTTCAGATTCTTAGAGTCACGTTCAACAATTAACTAATATATGAATTTTCAATTTCCTTTAGATGTTCTCTCTGAGAATTCCACTATAATGTAAGTTCATTTCTGTTCTTTTTAAAAAAAATATCATATCCGGTTTCCTGTCCTGGATTGGGTGATCCACGTGAATCTTAAGGCTTTAAAGGATATAATGTCTGAATTTCTTTAAGGCAGGTTTTGTTCTGTCCATTAACTATTTTCTCTCGATAATCAAAATGCGACTGCTTGAATAGTTATTATTGGATAACATTTTTGTTTTATTTTTCTTTTCTATATTATTTCTAGACTGATTCTATTATTTATAAATTGAATTTCTCACTAATAGCGACTGATAGGCTTAACTGGAGAAAAATGTACGCAAGTCCTTATCATTTTCTTTGTCATTTATTTTGTCTGTCATTTACTTAACGCAATCATATGGATGGTTTCGATTTTTCATTAGATGTTCGTTTCTTCCAATCAGAATCCTTCCAATGTTCGGTAAAACATACCTTTCATTACCTTGATCATTTCAGTTATTTCCTGAGGTGTAAATATTTTCTGGGTTGTTTAATATATTTCATTTTTTTTTCCTCTGGATTCTGTCACAATTTTATTTCATGTTTGCGACAAAAGTCAGTGTTCCGGTTGAATTGTAAGATCAGATTCTGCCTCTGAGTCTAATGTATCTTTTATTCATTTTACATATTCTTTCTAGGGTTTTTCGATAATGTTTTTTCTATGTGTGTGATTCAGTTCAAATTATCCCTAGTCATTCATTCTTAAGTCACAATCGAGCAATGACTCTGTTGATTCACGTTCCAAATAGGAAAGGAGAAAATAAATTTAAATTTAAAACTTAGATAAGTAATTAAAAGTAAAACAAAAAACTAAAGAAAATAATAAAGAATAAATAAAAGTATTGGAAAGAATGAGGAAAAAAAATGAAAGAATGAGAAAAGAGGAAAAAGAAAAGAATGAGAAAAGAGGAAAAAGAAAAGAATGAGAAAAGAGGAAAAGAAAAGAGTGAGAAAAGAGGAAAAAAGAAAAGAATGAGAAAAGAGGAAAAAGAAAAGAGTGAGAAAAGAGGAAAAAGAAAAGAAAGAATGAGAAAAGAGGAAAAAGAAAAGAGTGAGAAAAGAGGAAAAAGAAAAGAATGAGAAAAGAGGAAAAAGAAAAGAATGAGAAAAGAGGAAAAAGAAAAGAGTGAGAAAAGAGGAAAAAGAAAAGAATGAGAAAAGAGGAAAAAGAAAAGAATGAGAAAAGAGGAAAAAGAAAAGAATGAAAGAACGAGAAAGAAAAATGAAAAGAGAAAAAAGAAAAGGATTAAAAAAGAATAAAAGTAAAAAAAAAAAAGTATAAATACGAAAAAGAAGAGGAAGAATGAAAACTAGAAAAATACGAAAAGAAAATGATGACCAAAAAACAAAAAAACAAAAAAACAAAAAATAAGGCAGCCTAAAAGTGAGAAAAGAAAAAACAAACAAAAGATCAATGAAACAAGAACTGTCCGGAAGTCTAAATAATAAACAATGAAAGAATAAATAAATTTAAATTTAAATTAAGAACAGATAACAGAATTCTCGATAAAACAAAGCAGCAGCAGCAGCTTAAGATAAGCGAAAAAGAAAGCAAAGAAAAGTGTGCATCGAATCCGGCTCCAAGTCAGTCAGTTGATGTTAACTCAAGCAGTCGTTGATGGACGTTAGTACTTACTCTTATTCATTGAAGCTGGGCTTCTCCTTATTTACTGTGGTAAACATAACCCGCCGATAAGAGAAGGCCAAGAAGGTTGCGGCACCATTACCAGGAACCAGGCAATATTACGTGACAAATAGCCACTATTAAAACAAACAAGTGGCCTAATATCACCGATTTTATTCGGCCAGTCGACTCGCTTTTTATAATGGTCGTTTCGAACCTCGATGTGAAATCAATTTCGTTCTGACTTACGACCACGGCTTGAGAGAGAGAGAGAGAGAGAGAGAGAGAGACAAAGATAGAGAATGATAGATACTTACAGAGAGATGAAAGGGAAACTGACAGAAATATAGATAGACGATTAGAGAGAGAGGGGAAGGGAATTAGAGAGTGAGAGAGGGAGAAATAGAGAATAGAGAGAGCGTGAAAAGAAAGTATCAGAATGAGAGAGAAAGCGATACAGGGTGAGGAAGTGAAGTAGAGTATGGGAGATAGAAAAATAGAGTAAGTAAGTGAAATCAAAAATAGAGAGGAAGGCAAGTAGAGAATGAGAGTTGGAGAAAAGATATAAAGAATATGGAAGAGAAATATAGTATATATATATATATATATATATATATATATATATATATATATATATATATATATATATATATATATATATATATATATATATATATCAAACAGGGATGTTTGCTTATATCTAAATATATTTATTTAATATATATAATGCGATCACACGCATATATAAATTTAAAAATTAATGTTTTATTTAATTTTGGGTGTTAACAAACCAGTGTGGTAATACATAACTATAAAGTATATATTAATAAATATACTTATTACCTTTCGTGGAAAGTACGAACAGTTCAGTACCATCATAAGTACCTGAAAATTTTATTGAACATGACCGTAGGATATCATATGTATATTTACTATATATATATATATATATATATATATATATATATATATATATATATATATATATATATTCCGTTGTGTAGATATTGGTTTGTCCTATGATCGCAAAAGCGTGAAACTGATGGTCACAAACTAATAACCATACAACTGAATATTTTAGCTCTATCCCTGATATTGAGCCCTTTCAATGCGCATGCAATATATATACATATATATGTACACACACACACACACACATATATATATATATATAGAGAGAGAGGGGGGAATAGAGTGAGAGTGTGAGTGGAAATGAAGTATAGAATGCAAGAGAAAGAGGGAGAATGAGCAATAGCTAGGAAGGAAGTGAAATATAGAATGAGACAGATAGAGAAAGGGATATAAAATGAGAGAGATGAAGGCAAACAGAAAATGTGACAGTGAGGGATATAGAGAGGACATCGAGAAAGACTAAGAAGCAGACGAGAATTCTAACGTCAAGAGGAATACCGAGCAAGTGAGATGATGAAGAGAAATTGTGGCAGTTGGCTGAAGAAACGAGGAGTGGAAAAAAAAAGGGAAATGATAAAGCAAAAAGAAAGAGTGAACACAAGAAACAGTAGAGGAGGAGAAATAAATAACAGAAGACAAGGGGGAAAGAGAGAAACAGAAAAACGGTAGCTAATAAAAGAAGCCAAAGAAGTTAAATAATATAGAAGAAGAGAGAAAACAAGAATGTTGCAGGAAAAAAAAAAAAAAGAATTGAAGATGAGGAAAAGAAATAAAGAAAATTGACTGAAGAGAATGAAAGATTAAGAAGAGAAATGTGAGGAAAATAAAAAAGACAGAAAAGAATAAAAAGGAAATGTGAGTGTAAAAGGAAGATGCAGGGATATTAAATGCTAGAAAAAAAATTTAAAAAGAAAATGAAAGAAATACTTAGTGTTTAAATAAAAACGAAAAAATAGAGCAAACGAGAGAAAGAGAGAAGAGAAAAAGAAAAGTAGAGACGTAGAACCGAGAAGGAATATCGAAAAATAGGAATTGCAGGTCAGGATATAACGGAAGAAAATGAGTAGAATCAGAAGCTAGTTTAGAGGAAAGAAAAAGAAACGAAAAAGAAGGGAAAGGAAGTTGAAAGAGGGGAGAAATTAAAAAAAAGAAGAAAAGAAAACGGGGAAATAAAGGAGATAAAAAAGCAGTACAATGGTTTATTCTAAAACGGAAATAAAAGAAAAAAAAGGATAATCCAGAAAAAGAGAAAGATACAAATCAGAAGCGATAATGAGGAATGAAATAAAGAGAGGAAGAAGAAAAGAAACAAATGAAGTTCGTGAAAAGAAGATTTGCAGAAGATAAAATAAGATGCGGTAGAAGGGGAAATGAAAAATAATACAAAATTGAATGCTACGTACAAAAAACAAAACAACAAACAAACAGAAACAGTCAT